ATATATGTATATATATGTATATATATATATATAAATGTATCTATCCTATATATATATATATGTGTATATCTATATATCTATATATATATATATATATATATATATATATATATATATATATATATATATATATATATATATATATATATATATATATATATATATATATATATATATATATATATATATATATATATATATATATATATATATATATATATATATATATATATATATATATATATATATATATATATATATATATATATATATATATATATATATATATATATATATATATATATATATATATATATATATATATATATATATATATATATATATATATATATATATATATATATATATATATATAACACGTAATAATTTATATTGTTTGGAGTTTGCATGTTCTCCCATGTAATGTTCTTGCATGTAATAAAGTTACTAAGTCGAAATGAAAATGAATGAATAAATGAATGACTAATTTATAATTTAATTTAAATTAATAAAAATATAAAATTTATTATAAAAAATATACAATTTATTATAAAAATAAAAAATATAAAATAAAAGTGATTAAATGAAATAAAATACATTTTTTATCACAATTTCAGTTTCAATGACTTATTTTATTTTATATTTTATATTAAATGTCTTTTTGATTTTATTTAATTTTTACTAATGATTATTTTGTATTGTTTTGCATGTCCAAAACTGTCACTTTTCACAATGCAAAAACAAAAATACAGACGGATGAACAGACATACAGTTACTTGGATGGAAGGATAGACAGTTGACCAGTCAGATAAATTAATGGAAAGAAGAAAAAATGGACATGAATGAGAGACGGGGAGTTGGGTAGATGGATGGATGGATGGATGGATGGATGGATGGATGGACGGACGGATGGACGGATAGATGGATGGATGGATTGAGAGATGAATTGAAGGACAGACGGACAAACAGACAGAGAGTTATGATAGAGAGATAAACGAAAGGATGGATGGATGGATAGATGGATGGGCGGGCGGGCGGGCGGACGGACAGACGGACAGACAGATGGATAGATAAATAGATAACACACACATTTTCTCATCAGCTCTATATAAATTTCTAATGGGTGACCTTACTTATTCCCAGAGCCATTTATTTCGAAGTTGATATTAAGCCGCTCAATGTTGGTGTTTTGTAAAATCTAATTTTACAAGGTTGGTCGTTAGCCCAGTGCTCAACCCCCAACCTGGAGGACCAGGACATAAACACATACATTACGGACAACTTAGTTTACCCAAATCACCTATATAGTGCATGTCTTTGGACTTGCAAACATAAAAAACATGGGGAGAACATGCAAACTCCACACAGAAATGCCTACTGACCCAGCTGGGGCTCGAATCAGCGACCTTCTTGCTGTGAGGCAACAGCGTAAGGCGTGAGGCGACCATGCCGCCCTATGGGTGACCTACAGTATTTTAATCTTTCAAAAAAAAAAAACAGAATTTTCTTCAAAAGGTCAAGTGTTAGCATCTATGCATTAAAAAAAAGCATCTGTACTCCACGTGATTGGGCTGTAGATATCAGACGTGATTTATTATGCCTGAGAGGTTAGAGCTGGAATACTCTGCAGGATCTCTCACTTCAGGATTCCAGGATGTGCTTATGATTGAATATCGACTCCTGCCTTGAAGGAAACACCTTACAATCACATGACACAGGGTGATTTCATCCATTCAACTGAGAAATGGGAAGAATTGCAATGATGTTGCAGGCATCTCAGGAAGGACCTTGGCCTTTTAACTGTCAAATCAATAATTTGCACCAAACAATGCAGACAGACTGAATGAGCGATGCACTAACAATAAAACTAAGAAACAATTAAATCAATGAGGGCCTTGCTTTACTTTAGCTTATTCCCTTCTTTACTAATAGTAGCCAGTGCTGGGAAACACATACAACCATTCTCTCACACGCGCACGCACAAACGCACACCCACACACACCCACACCCACACCCACACACACTGCCCAATTTACTTTGTTTAATTTACATATACATACTGCATGTTCTTGGACTATTGAAAAACAATGGGAATTGAACCAGCATCTTTCTTGCTTTGAGGCAATCTTGCAAACTACTGAGCCATTGTTTGACTAAGAAGCCAAACAATAAAAAAAAACTGAAATGGAAAATAAATTAACAATCAAATGAACAGCGCAATGAATGAGTGCTAAACGATAGAAACATAAAACATAAAAATGCAAACAGATGATAAAACCAATGCAAAAACTATTAAACTACAGAGACTGCATGAACAATAAACTCTAATGAATAAAAGAACTACATGTAGTAAAAGAATTAACAAATGGTGGAAGGAAAATCAATAGAACAAATTATATCATACTTTTTAAATGAACAAATTATTAAGAAAAAAACAAATAAGCAAACAAACACACAACCAAATTAACTAATAATAATAAACAATGGAACATGAAAACTA